CGTTTAAAAAACAAATCATTCTTATGCAGACAGTAGATTATTATTAGCAAGACAGCTCACTAGATTTTGGAACAACCATAGTCAACAGACTGACAAAGAAGCAGTTCTGTACCAGTTACATTGAAGTTTGGGGCAATCTTGCTGTCTCCCAGTGTAAACCAGATCAGACCGAGACTCATGCACAGAGCAGCAGACACGTCTGCAACGTTGTAGCGTTTCCCTAAAAACAAACAACATCAACAAGCTCTATCAAGAAACTCTGACATGGATCAACTCAAACACGTCACAAAAGTCGCATAAACATGGATCTGATCTTCTGCTAAGCTGAGGGCCTTATCGTCTGGGTCTTTTGAGTTCTGGCTGCAGGTTTGACACTGGCTGCAGGTAGACTTTACAAAGATCTTTGAACAAGTTCAACAGTGAACTGATGTTGAAGAGAGAGAAGGAGTTTTTGTGCTTTTTATGCTGGATTCTTCAACTCATCACAAGCAAGCATGCGAGGAAGAATGAGTTTGAGGTTGGACATGAAAAGGCAAAGACCAGAAAAAAACAAAAAAACAAGAGAGGTCGAAGAGTGTTCTCAAACAGGTAACTGCCGTGGGGATGGAGGTGATGCAGCAGGTTGCTCTGCATCACTTTGATTCCGTCCAGCTTTGATGGGTTTGCATCTTGAGCGCATGCTCAACCAACGTCCCGCTGATCTTACACACCAGCCTCAGGGGACACAAGGTCTATGATTCCAGAGAAAGGACAAAAAAAATATCCCCATAAAAAGAGAGGGGAGAACTGTTCAGCTGGTTTCATTCTTTCTTGTTCGGGATATCAAAACTCCAATCCAATTCTTGCATAAGAAAAGCGAAGGACTCCAAAACAGTGGCCAATGAAAGAAACGGCATAAGAACAAGGAACTTGTTAACAGAAAATTACAAACCTGCGAAAAAAAAAAGTCAACTGACTTAATTTTAAGGGATATTTTACCCACAAATCAGTCAACCTTATTGTGCTAATTCAAACCCATATATGACTTTTCTTCCATGAAAAATCTATATGCAGCTCTTTTCTTTACATAAGGACCACAGCTGTTAGACTATATATATATATATGATATATATATATATATATATATATATAGGATAAGAACTCATCCACAATATCCACACTGACCGCCACAAATATCCACCGTATGCTATACTAGTGCTGGGCAGTATACCGGTTCATACCAAATACCGGTGTTTATTTTTGTTATGATATGAATTTTTAAAATACCACAATACATGTATACAGTATGTCGCTTCAACAATGTTCGGAAGGTGACACTGTTTGAAAGGGGTTCCTTTTCACTGTTGCACTGTGGTTAGGGAAAAGCTGTATGTGTTACTAAGTGTGAAAGTTCAGAAACTGAAGCTGT